GTAGTATCATTCAAATTCCCGAGAGTCTTCCAGAAGAAAGCACTGTGTGCTGCCCGTGACAACACTGCAGCAATGGCCTCCTGAAGACAGGAAGGGGCTTTCTCTAAGCACCCCCTGGGAGTGCTGGGGTTGGGGCTGGTGGCCGATCCTTCTTCTCTACTTCGGCATCTGTGCCACATACAGGCGGCTTTGCTACTTTGCTACGCTGCCCTGTCTGCACCCTCTAGTTCCTAAGTCCTGGGCCCAGAGGGCGACGGAATCAGCCGGTGACTTTGGAAAAGGGGACCAAGGGCCTGGGCAGGGGTCGCTAAGCCGCTCCCTTCCTCTTCTCGGGAGCAGCGCATCAGCAGAGAGTGGACAGATGCCCAGTCACCACGGAGATGCTGTGGTCTTCCCGTGCGTTCCTCTTAATTGCTCAATCTTTGGGCCGAGAGACGGGGGTTGCTCCCCGGTTCCTTTGAACGTGCGCCCTCGCCATAGCTCTTATTTCTGGCTTTAGGCTGGCTGATGCTTATTATCTTACCGTCCTGTCCTACTTCGGTCTACATGTATTCATTCAGTCTATATGGATGCGCTTATAATTGTCGGCACGAAGCCACAGGAGCCGTAAGAGATGAAATTATACGAGGACGCGAGGCTGCCTTGCTCTTGGCCGTCACGGACTCCACCTCCTGGATCTCCTGGAGTCTCTCCGACTTAGGAAATGACCCTTCTCCGAGGCCCAGTGACTCGTGAGGGGTCAAAGATGGAGGGGGTTGGCGATGGGAAGATGACCCATCTTGGTCACCTTGAACCGAATATTTCTTTAAAACCATGGTCTCTGGTTTACATAGCCAAGAGGAAGGCAGAGGAGGAGGCTGGCAGGAAGCAGCTAGGAAGGTACCACACAGGGGAGAGCCCCCCATCACTCTCACACACACACACACACACACACACACACACACACACACAGACTGTCCTTGTCATGTCGCAGGCCAGACGCGGTGAAGAATCAGTTGATGTTGAATCTCCCACAAGACACCCACAGAGAAGGCCAGCAGAGAGCATCGCTAGCCTGCCTCCTGGCGCTGGGTTGACACCAATCCGCTTCCAATCGACCGTTGCAAAGAAAACCGGATCATGTGCTTGTGCCTAAGGCTCCCTATCAGCAGGATTTCACATCCAGAAGCATGTTGCACAATGTGCATCTAGCATTCTTAAAGCTGTTCTGTCTTTCCCAAAGACCCAGTCGCCACATCAACCTTTCCTCTCATTTTCTCCTGATCTCTCAACCTCTGCCCACTGCTCTCCTTGTCTCTCCTCCTGGATCCTTTCTTCTCTGGGTCGGTCCACATAATTTATTAGTAGAAATCCTTCGGCTTTTTTCCAAGCCCGAGAGCAGTCTCACAGCTGACCGAGCAGGGAAAGAATCACTCCATCCTTGAAGGCAGAGCGGGAAAAGCAATATTGCTGACCTGTATCATTTGCTTTTTTTCTTCTGTACTTGTCAAGAACAGTCTCCTTACCTTCCTGGCAGAGTCAAGGGAAGACATTCATGGCGCACGGCTCTCTTCCCGCATCACGAGGGCCATCGTTGGCAGAGTTACGGCTACTCCTGTGTCTCATCAACCCTCTGCGCCCCAGCGGTGGGGATGATTTCCTTCCCCGGTTTCCAGCACTAATGTAGAATTTGTTTATCCTATCCATTTAGTGGCTTCAGTGGGGGAAGGCATGGTTTGAGGAAAAAATTTGAGCTCAAATCATCTTCTTGGATCAGAAGTCTCTGCCTGACCTGAAATTTCATGTCAATATCAGTTTTTTATTTTAAATTTTCATTTCCATTTTCTTTCTTTATACTTTGCAGAACACAGGACATTGTGTTCTCAATTTTCCCGACTACACACGTGAATTTAGGAATATTTGTTTCATGCAGTCTTTTGGTTTCTTTCTTGGTTTTCAAAAACAACAATAAAAATACACTGTTCCAGCACATATTTAATGAAATAGCATTTAGCAATTTCATGGGGAATGCCAAGTAAGTCCCACTCTTGCTTTGATGGTAAACCAGGGACCCAGGTTAGGGTTGAATGTCATACTTGCCTTGGTGGATTCGGGGGCTTCTGGGTGTCTTTCAGGCTGATGTTTACAATGGAAAAGCAAGAGAACGGAGTTGAGAGAACATCCTTCAGGCCTGAGCCTCTGAACCATATGAGCGAATGATGAAGATAAAGGCAGAAGTCAAAAGTGGCTCAAGGTAATTGCTTCTTGGTTTTGGTGTGTGTGTGTGTGTGTGTGTGTGTGTGTGTGTGTGTGTGTGTGAAAAAGACGCAAAACTTGATATTTTCACTGTTTAGGGGAATTATAACATATTATATGCACATTAGAGAATATTTAAAAACTCCTTTCCCCATAAACAGACATATGGACAGATGGTGGATGGGCAGATAGCTGTTTTCACGCACACTATCAACTTCCATATGGTTCAAGGGTTAACCATATGCTGACAAGTGTCAAGCCTGAGTCTCCGGCCCAGGTTGTCCTGATTCTAGACCACAGGCATGTCCGGCTCAAACTCTTCCAAGTGAAGCCATTGTCTCTGTGCTGCCTCTTCCCACCCAATATGCTCCTTCTCTTATGTTCTCTGTGTTAGTGAATGACAACTGCCACTACCCAAGGCCAGTGTCAAAAACCGGGGCGCTCGCCTTGACTCGTCCCTTCATGGTACCCTACCTTTGAAGTCATTCGCCAAGCCTTATCAGCTCTAACAGCTCTCAAATACACCTATTTCCTTCTGTCTCCACGACCACTTGGGCCAGGTTATGCCTACGTGAGCTCTTGCTTGGATCGTTGAACATAACAGCCAGAGCCATCACTACTAAGATCCAATCTCGTGCCATTTCTGTGCCAGATGTTATACTAAACAAGCCCCTGTGCTTAGGGTAAGTTCCAAAACCCCACAGCATGGCCTATGTGCCCTTCACAAACTCGCCCCCTGCCTACTCGTCTGTCTATTTAACTTGGGCCAATCCCCCATTTTCACTCTGGACCCCACATGTATTAGTCTGCATAGGCTGGTGAATGCCGATGTAACAAATAAGTAAAAGGCGTCAGAAGTTCAACAGAAAAAGGTGCTTTCTTGTCCGTGTGAGATCGAGCATAGGTCGGTTGACTCTCCAAGCCAGCCGTCCTTCGCGGACCAGCCACCCAGGATCTTTTCATTTGTGGTGCTGCCGTAACAACACACAGCATCTATGTTCACTGCCCAACTTCTCCTGTGGACAAGCCACAGCAGCTTTCCACCGCCTCGACCAGGAAGGGATACGCCGCAACTCCAGTCTTATTTCACCGGCCAGAGTGAGTCACGTGGCTCTGCAAGAAGGCTGGGAATCGTAGCCTCCGAGAAGGAGGCGTAGGAGAAGGGATTCGGCCAACTGGCAGCCTTCCGTCCGCCACGCCAAACCTTTACAAAGCACGTGGCTGTTGAATTGGAACGTTCATCTTTGGGTCTTTGCACGTTTTCCTTTTTGTCTGGAATTCTTAATTCACACCCAAACCTTCTCATGAATAATTCCTGCCCAGAACTATTTTGGGGAGGAATGCATGGGAATGCCAGGCTAGAACCTCTTTCTCAGGATTATGAAAGCTGGAACAGTACTCTAGAAGCTGGCTTTTAGCTGGCATCCTTGAAGTGAGATATAAATTCTGTCCTTTTAAATTTGATTTTCAAATCAAATGGAAATGTTTATTTATACAGATTTTTCACATCTTCCTCTGTGATATAAAGAAGTTATGCTGGATCTGATGTGTTATCCAGCCCCTTTCACACCTGATACCACTGAGAACATACTGGGAAAGAGACAAGAGATGAACAAGGACCCTTAAGCTAAGGATCCTTAGCTCCTTGCCACACGAGTGTCTCTGTTATTGGCTCACGTCATCACATCAGACAAGGGAGAGTCTCCTGGCAGCAGGGAAGTGACAGTGTTACATCACTTAAAGAAGTGCTGTCCCAATGACTTTGTCAAATTCTTTTTTGTTTAATTTTATGGTTCTATTAACACAGATACAACATGCACATAGACTGCCTGTTCATTTTCTTTGCTGCACAGCCTGGCATTGGGACTGGGGACTCTGATGGCCGGCGGGGCTCCTCTTTCCACAATGGCTTTGTGGTTCTTGGAGGGGACGTGAGCAATCTCTGAGGCGCAGTACGATTTGTTGCACATCAGCAGCTCTGCAGACTCCTTGATATTGCGGACCAGGAACTTCTGGAAGCCACTGGGCAGCACGTGCTTTGTATCCTTGTCGCTCCTGTATCCGCTGTCGGGCAGCAAGACCGGGCCCTTCCACGCACCCCGTTGTCAATGCCTCGGGGTTCCCACTGGTTGTGCCTGATTTTGATACGGTGTCTGGCCGGTGCTGGATGAACTTCTTTTTAACGATCCTGGGCTTCGTCGGAGGTCTGGGGGTGGCCACGATGCCTAGCAGGAGATGGCTGTCACCTCCGCAGGCAGCACCGAGGAAGAGAGTCCTTTGTCATATTCTATTGCTAGAAGTCACAGGTCCTGTCCACACTCGCAGGGAGGGGATTACACAATGGTGTGTATACCAGGAACAAGGATCATTGGGGGCCCCACTAGAATGTGCCTAGATACTCTACAATGTTCCCATGATTCCTAGTCTGAAGGTGCAGGCATATCACATGTGTGACCATGATGGGAGTGGTCACATAGGGTTTGTCCTAGAGCATGTGATGCATTGAGTCATTCTTTCCTAGATCTACACCCCTCACCCCAGCCATTTATATGGTTTAAAAATGTCTATTTGGAATAGTAGATTGTTTCTCATTGGAGGAGAAGCACAGAAGGAGAGTAGCTTTTTTATTTCATTTTATCTTAATTTTTAAAAGTTTATTTATTTTAAGACAGAGAGAGTGAGAGAGAGAATCCCAAGCAGGCTCCGCACCACCAGCACAGAGCCTGACATGGGGCTCTATCTCCTAAACTGTGAGATCATGACCTGAGCTGAAATCAAGAGTCGGACGCTTAACCAACTGGACCACCCAGGCCCCCCTGTTTTTATTTTAAACCAGAAGATACTGTGCCTGCACTTAAACTTCAGTTCTCAGCTGAAATATCACCTCTCCTAAGAAATCTCTAACACCCCCATGACTGAATTAATTGCCATCCTACCCAATTCTTTTATAGCTCCCTGTTCTGACACCTCTGGGAACACGTATCCCACCGTATCTCATTTGCTTCTTCGGGGAAGAGGCAATGTCTTATCACACCATCGTGTTCTCAGGACCTAGCGCATGCCTGACACGAAGTAGGTCGTCGGCTAATATACACTGCATTTCACTGCATTGCACTGAAGTTTTCCTTAGGTTTGAAGCTGACCCATAGTGGATGGCGGGATCTGAAGGAAACTGGTTCTTCATCCTCATCCATAGAACGTTTTGGCCTGAGTCTTGGTAAAGAAGGGAGAAAAATGCCTAATTGGCTATCAACACCATCCCAAAGTTAAGTGTGTTTTGCAAAACAATGCTTTTTGTTGTTGTTGTTGAACTTATATGTGAAAAGAGACTTTCAAGTATTTCTTGGAGGCATTTCCAACCCAAGTATTGCCAGGCCGGCACAGCAAGGGGCACGTAGGAAGCCGAGTAAACAGGCAGGTAAGTGACAGGGGATGTGGCACCAGGAAATAAAGATCTTGAGGACTTGGAAGAAAACTGTTATCACAATGTTAAACAATAGTGCGTACAGAGTTCTTTGCACTCTTATTTGTTGTTGTTGTTGTTGTTTTTGGGGCAAATTGATCAATGCTGGAATAAGACGTTGGTCTCCAAGAGTTGCCAGAGGTGATGTTCGAGATGTGAATTTTTCAGAAGGCTGAGAGCAAAGAGGTAAAGGAATATATATTGCTTGGTTTTGTTTTCTTTTTCATAAATTGAACCCTTTTGTGAGTGAATGTCTTTCTAAAATGTTACATGTACTTCCATACATCCGTAAACAGAAGCTAATGAACAAATGCATTTATAAATAATCTGGATTCGTGAACACAGGACGGTGCCACGACATAGTGATTTTCTCGAGCCTTCTGAGGGGGAACAACACGGTCCCTGACTATGGTGTCTTTTTCACTTCTTTTGTGCCTTTTACGGTTTTTCTGTAGTGACTTTGTTCATATCTCTTTTCTTAGCAGGCTTTCTTTTCCTTTCAAATTTACAGCTCTAAGTTACTCTTGAAAACTAGAACTATGTGCAGAGAAAGAGTCAATAGTCGAGCGAGACCTAAGTGTTTGCTCGTATGCGATATGCTTAAATCTGACGTCAGGTGGATGTTCAGAGGCCTTTTCTTTTCTGGCTGTGGTTAGACCCACAGAGACTGCTACAGCTGAGTTCTAGATGGGGAAGGTGTTGCTCTATTATACAAGCAGAGTATGAAGACAATCCTGGAGATGACAGTGGAAGGACCTGTTGTCCACAATATAATGGAGAAAGCTGGTGCTCAGAGAGGTGAAGTGATTTGCCTAGAACCCCCCAGTTTGTGGCCGATTCTGGGCCACAGTAGTGGATTTCCTGATGGTAGCTCCATGTTCCCCACTCGGCCTGTGCCTCTAAGGAGCAGATAAGGGTTGTCAAGGGCGGAGTGAAATGGTTCAAAGGCACTAGCAAATCCATTCTTGCCTGGGAACCTGCGGTTTGCTCCTGTTCCACAGTGGACTCTATCTGCACATACGTGTATGTGTGTGGGTGCAGATTATCAGAGTATGAGATGCCCACAAAACCGGGTCAGGTCAGCACCTTCCTAGCCCTGGAGGCCACATGGGAACCGGCCTTAGTTTGGGGCACAGAGAAACCTGGTTTGCCGGCCCTGGGAAGGGCCCCAGCACTATTCCTTTGTAACACTTTGGGGCACCCTAGCCCTCCTTATCACACCCCTAAAGATTCGAAACTTTCTAGAAAAAGTCTGTCTGACTTCACCCACCTGACAGAGAGATCCTGACTGGCTCAGACCTCCAGAACCGCAGCAGTCCTCATTCCTAAGCTCCTGACTTGCAATCATGGATCCGGCTGTTCTAAGAAGTCATGAAATCATGGATCTGGCAGCCCGAGGCGCTCCTTGGGGATCTCTGTGCAAGATGAGAGGAAAAACCAAGAATGAGGCTGTGCCAAGGCACACAGCGCCCCTCACCAAGTGGGACTGCCTCCTGTCCCCCTCCTCTCGAGGGCTTTTTTTTTTTTTTTTTGCTTATGAGGCAGAAAACTTGAACACATTTTGTAAAGCAAGTTTCTCTTCCAAAGAAGGACTCCACCCCCCCCCCCCCCCGGCCCCAGGCAGAAAACTACAGCCCGTAGGTGAGCATGTTCCCCACGTGGGGCTAAGGAGACCCGAGAAACTGCGTAGAGCAGATGCTGTTGGTGCGGATGCCCCGTCAGACCCTCATCATTGGCAGGTGCGCCCATCCCTCAGTTTAAGAGAATGTGGCTGCCAAGGGCTCACACCTGACGGCTTCTCTGGAGAGCTGTCTGGTTTATGGGAGCTGCCTGGGGAGTTACAGCACCCCCCAACTCTAGGGGAGGCAAAGCCTGACTGCACGTAGATTCCACAGCTCAGTCCTGTTGTCTTAAGACAAGGCACGTCTTGGGGCGCCTGGGTGGCTCAGTCGGTTGAGCGTCCGACTTCGGCCCAGGTCATGATCTCACGGTTCGTGGGTTCGAGCCCTGCGTCGGGCTCTGTGCTGACAGCTCGGAGCCTGGAGCCTGCTTCGGATCCTGTGTCTCCCTCTCTCTCTGCCCCTCCCCCGCTTGTGCTCTGTGTCTCAAAAATAAATACACATTTAAAAAAAAAAAAAAAGAAGGCAAGGCACGTCTATGGTGGAGCTCCTGCTCTAGGGCGCCTGAAGTTCAGGCAAAGGTGAGACTGTACCTGGGGCACAGGCTTGCTCTCTGCTCTTACCTCTTCCCTGTCCTGCGCTCTACTCCCTTACAGTTTTTTAAATGTTTATTTTAATGTTTATGTTTGAGATGGGGGAGGGGCAGAGAGAGAGGGAGACACAAAATCTGAAGCAGGCTTCAGGCTCTGAGCTGACAGCACAGAGCCTGACACGGGGCTTGAACTTGTAAACCGTGAGATCATGACCTGGGCTGAAGTCGGATGCTTAACTACTGAGCCATCCAGGTGCCCCCCAGTTTTTTTTCTGTAAAAGCACCCCCTTAGCAGTCTTGCACCCCTAACACACCATGCTCACTTAGCACTCTTGGCCTCTTGTCTCCTGCTGGCTTTGGGTGACAGCATGTCCTTTGCACCTATTGTAGGCAACTGCAATTTCCATAGGATTTGTCCCCAGAAGCTCTTCCCTCCCAGCCTCCAACAGAGTCTTCTTAAGTGTGTTTCCTGAGCCCATCTCACAAGTCCTGTAGGCAGAGAGAGCAATTCTCTCTCAAGATTGATGCCCTGAAGTGACTTCCTCTCTCTCTCTCTCTCTCAGGACAAAATACACACATACTCCAACAGTGGCATCGCCAGGAGTAACCTCTCAGGTCCTCCCTGCACGCCTTGTATACAAATGCTGCATTGTTGTGCTGGTCTGGTTGGGGTCAGCAGGCCAAGCTGGGAGTAGGGGCAGGAATCCCCAAAACTCTCCCAGGGAAGAAGCAGATCCTGTCACTGGTAATGGAAACCAGGAACTCTGGAATATGGATCATCAGGTGAAAATGGAACTTGGTTTCTTAGACCTCTCAGGGTTGGTGACATTGCTCTTGGCCTTAGGTGGTGGGAGATGTCTTGGGGGAGGTGGGGTAGTCCAAGGCCTGAACCCCCAGAAATAGACTGGGTGGGCATCTGTGCCCGATGGCCTAATCCAACCGACTGACTTTCTTGGGGGTTCATTCTCTTCTGTTTTTCCCATTCCCCATTCCTCCCCCACCTCTGTGCCTTGGGCGATGTCTTATTGAAAGGTTTTGGCCAGATCTCAGGGGAGGGGAGAGTGGGTGGGCGACCGAGGGCAGGTTTGGGGTCTACACTTGGGCAGAGTGGTGAAGGAGAGTCCTAATGGGGGGTCAGGCAGGGAGTCTGGGGGCAGGACCTGCAAGGTCCAGCCAGCCCTCCCTGAATGGAGTGTACCTTCCATGGCTCTCTGTTATCCTAACGCACAGTGCCTGAGCCACAAACAGGATGGATTGCTTGATCTGTTCCTCCAGATCAAGGAGGAACTTCTCCATCAGGGTCTTGGTGATGTTTTCTCTTCTTTTCACTCCCAACCAACTGTTTCTTGAGGGGCCGGCCTGATAGGAGATGTAACCCGAGGGAGAGAAGCTCAGCCCTGGCCTCCACACCTGATGCAGGGCACTGCCTGGGGGGTGGCTCAGGAATCAAGAGTGCCTAAGGGAAAAGGAGACAGGAGTCCTGCGGAGCCATTAATTCCAGGAGAGGAGCGGCTCAAGTGTTCCCAGCACACCTTCAGCTCCAGAGACCTTCTCCGTGCCTTCCTGAACGGCAGGCACCGGGGGCTCAGCTCACCCCAGCTGCACGGGCATAATATCTCTTTGAATTCTCTATTTCATCTTGAATATTCATGTGATTTTTGCAACAGACTCCACGATACATCAGGGCTGGTTTTAGAATAGAACCATGGGACGTTCCAGCTGCTAAGAACATGAGGTTAAACCTGTCCACCGTGGTCTCGTTTGTAAAATGGAATAAAAACCATACCTACCCCACAGGCCACGGGGATGACGGAGCTAACGCAAGTCAAGTAAGTGCCTGGTACTCCATAAATGTTCTGAAATGTTATTCTCCTACTGATAGCCTGATAATGAGAAGTGCATACAGTGGGTCCTCATTATTTGCAGATTCCACGTTTGCGAATTCACCTACCTGCTAAGATTTATTTGGGTCCATAAATCAGTGCTTGCAGCTCCTCTCGTGGTCATGTGACAAAGGGGTGGAACCCGTGAATCGCCTGATCCATGGGACCGAGAGGCGTCCTGCTCTGCCTTCTTGTTTCATGGTCTGTTCAGTGCCACTTTCCATATTTTTGTCTTCTTTGTTGGGGATTTCGCTGTTGAAAATGGCCCCCGAGAGCAATGCTGGAGCGCAGGCTCACTGCTAGGCACAGGCTGTGACACGCCCTGCAGAGAAAAATCCTCGTGTTACATGAGCCTCATTCAGGCAGGTGTTGTACCGCACCGCTGGTGGCCGTGGATTCAGTGTCGATGAATCAATAATACATGTTAAATAAAATGGTTTTAATGAGAACCACGTATAAAAGAAGGCTGTGCATTGGTTGGCTGATAGACGGGACCAGAAGCTGGCAGGAACCTAACTGTGTTTCAGGGGTTCAGTATTCATTGTTCCCGTGGCTTCGTAAGAACAGAACTTTGTATGGCAAGTGACGAGAGCTGATGGTACATAGGTGCGTTCTTTGTGGTTCAGCCCGGCCCTCCCGGCCGCTGACTGACTGACTCTTCCCCTGCTTCCTGCCCCTCTGCCCCCTTCACACTGAATGTCCTCTGCTCACTTTTCCACGAGATTCCAGCCCTTCCACGTGGGGTGGACGGTCAGGAGAGCCAAAGGAGTCACCCGTCTAAGGAAGGTAAGGAGGGGAAGCAAGGCAGGCAGGGGGTCCACCTCTCTTGGTAAAGCTCTAACACTATCTGCAATGTACCCCCTACAGACAGGCAGGCAGCAGCTTTGGGGATGGATAACAGAGGGACTTCAGAGGGAAGAGGTTACCAGCCCCAAACTTGGCTTCGCAACTCACTGTGTGCAACTTCTTAATCCCCGGTGCCTCAGCTTCCCCACTGTGAAATGGGAATAACGATCCTAACCAACGCCATGGGGCCCGTGGTGGAGACCAGACGCACAGGAGGAGCTGGGCGCAGGGGCCGGCACACACGGGGCACCCAGGGACACGATGCGGGTGACCGTACTTAGGTGGGGGCACCAGGCCGGCTTTGCAAGCAATTCCCC